GGAGGTATAAGCATTCATGGAAAAAAAAGACATATTTGACCATTCAAAACTTAAAAATAAACGCCTGAACGATTAAAATAATCGAGAAAAGTGTATTAGACTAAGGTGGTTTCTTGGGGTAACAGGCTAGTCCTATACCTAGATCTTCCACAGTTACAGTCAAACGGTGAGAATCTGGGTACGAGATTTAGTGTATGTTACCCGAAGATTGATAAAACCTCCTGAATGAAAAAAGTAACAACTTGTGAGTATATTTCCTCATATAGACCTAACTTCTACTGAGGCGCTTGCTCAGGGCTACCGGTTCAGTAAGATGGAGCTATTTTAAAAGGCCACTCACAGGATTTTCAAATTCTTTACTTTTTCGAATACATCTTGAGGGATCCTTTCGTCCAGCGGATTGTTTTGCAGATGCCTGATGATGTAAAAATGAGAATCGAGGAAGCTTATTAATAGTTTTCTTAGAGCAATTGTATTTAGTATTTCTGAGTAATTGCTTAGTTGTTCCTCTACTAAGCTACACTAATTCTGGCTTTATCGATTATAGAATCTATGCAGTGGCCAGAGAACCGATACTGCAAACGAACTATGCGTTACATCAAAGTGTGCGGGGTGCAAGAAGACCTAAAGTTTTGAAAAAAAAACTTACAGAATTTCAAGTTTGCGAAGTCCATCAAATGCGAGAGAGGTCAACGTTTTTAACTTGTTGTCATTCAAATACCTATGAAAAGGATTGCGTCGGAGCTTTAGAAATAAAACTTCCTTCTTAAATGGGTTCTTTTTTTAATGAAAATATGTTTCAGTTAAGTGGTGATTTCTGTAAGAGCGGTCCAGGGTTTTTCGCATCGAAAGTTTTGCCTCAAACTTTACCCACTAAACTATCTTTGGTAGTAAGTAAATAAAACCTCATTGGTTTCCTGGAAATACATCAAAAATTTTTTCTGAGAGCTCTCAATAACCAAAGCTGCAAAAGGCCCTTTTTTGACCTCTTGCGACATCGAAAATTCCAAGAGTTGATATGCTAACCCCTCGAGCTCGTAACACTTCATGCAGCAAGAAATCGCTTGTATTCCTAAATTGTGTGATATCTAAGGGGTTTAGAAAATTTTTCAATTTTGATATGTGTTTATTCATAATAAACACATAAGTAGTATCATCGCTCAAAGACAGACATGACAGTTGGCATATCGAGAAGAAGAATTTCAAATAAACAATTAAAATTTCCTGACGTGGTTAGAATGCACATGTATCGTAACTCTTAAGGCAAGCGCTAAGTCTTGCTGCCAAATACTTAAAAGTTGCAGCTAACCGATGAACAAAACTAAATCATCTTACAGCACTTTCAAACTCGATAAAGCTTGAAATAGACCATCCTTGATGTGAGTGATGATGTTCTTTTGAAGGTACCTTTCCACAATATGAGAAACTAATTAGTTTACGATAAACTTTCAGAAAAATGTGTATATCGTGGATTGGCGAGGAACAACAAAAATGTTAGTAACAAAAAAATTTATGCATTAAACAACTGAGCAAAAATAAACATCTCTGCTGGTAGAGTGGTCCAATGAAGATTCAAGTTTTCACGAAGATGAAAAAAAAACATCTAAAAACTTCAATAGTACAGCACAGACCCCTGTCCTCCCGATAATCTGTATAGATTTCGCACCGTCTTTGCTTCCATGATAGCTTAGTGGTGAAATATTTCGAATTGTCTCTAAGTTTACGTAAGAGCGGGGGTCGATTGAGATTGAATCAGAATGAAGCGAGGGACAATGAAGGCAAACAAGGCAAATTAAAAAATGTGTCCACAATACTGTTTCTTACAGGTGATCAATTAAAACACAAACATAAACCCAGCTTACAGGTGGGTCAGTTTGTTGGTATTCCTGAATGAAAGTTCATGTATAGTCTTTATTCTATTGGAACGAAGGCTCCTGTTGAATTAAAAAAGCCATTTCTCATATGAAAGTAAGCTACTGTTAACACAGTAAATCACAAGCGAGACGGTTAGACTAGAGAAAAATTAACTGAGGTATATATTTCTTTAAGCAAACCTTCTTGCATTTTCCTTATAGCGTTCACAGTAGTAAAGTAATCAATGATTAATGTCTATCGAATTATTAATCAATTGATTAATGCTTGATAAATTAATTAATTCTGAAACTGTTTTCAAGATCTGACAAGAAACTGCATACTCTGCTCTCGAGTTCCATGCCCTTTCTCGCGCTCTCTGTTTATGCTTTTCCGCTTGAAATGAAAGAGAAGAAAAAGCAGCTTACAGTATAAGAAGGTTGGTTAGATGTCCAAATGGGTTGTCATCCAACTTGGAAAGCAGATTGTCGCCCAAATCTCTGAAAAGAAGGAAAAGAGTTTGGTCACACCAGCCGTTACGTTTTTGCAAACCGCAGAGACGGATGCAACGAGTAGATCTCCTTCATCAGAGCACTTCTCGAAGAAAAACTAGTGTTAATTATAAAGGCAAATCAGAGCAAAGGTAAATCAAACATGGGGCCTATTGAAGGCAAAGTCAATACAGATAGCTGATCTCCGTGATTCACCGTAATGGGAAGGCATGATTTGTCTAAGTTTTGCATCAGAATGGTTGATGAGTTAGAGCAAATTTTTGACCAATTGAAGAGGTTAAAAAAGAAGAAACGTCAAATGAAAATTATTCTATGAAACTATTCAAAGCCAATGGCTGTTTCTCATTTGCATTCTGGAGAATCTATCTAGAAGATGGAAAATTCATGTACAGGAAGTTTCTCGGAGTCCTTCTTTGAGGACAGCAATGACATAGAAGGCTTGTATTTCTTGTACAATCACACCACCATTTACTTACAGCGTTTGCAAGGCATTGAGTCCAGATAACGTATCAGCACAAATATCTTCGATGAAATTTCCGTTTAGTCTTCTAGTTAAGATAAGAGAAAAAAAATGGCCGCGCTAAGTTGCGGATTGTAACTGCTGAGAAAACGATACTCTTATCAAGTGACATAGACCCTAAAAATAAAATCTGGGTGGCTAAGTACGCATTACTCACCTAAGCTGAATCTCATGGATTTCAAGTGAAAAATCGACCGAAGTCGAAGTCTGGGGACCCGTTTCTCGAAGCTATGCCTCGTTTTCCGGGTGTAGGCAAATTATTATCTGAAATAAAAGACTCACAATTCTAACAAGGAAGACATGTCTTGGAACACCCTGTCCTCAACGTAAACTATCTTGTTGTAGCTGAGATCACTGCAAAGAAATTAAACAAAAAAGCGTAAGAGGTTGTTGATGAACTTAACTAGGTAGTAAATTATCCTTTGAAGCAAGTCGATGTCGTAAGCTTTTTAACTGTAGAACTTGGTCTTCCTCAATTCTTGGCGGGTTGTTACCACTCCTGAGATTGGGTTACGCATGCCATCTCTCTCGATTAACTATAAATCTACTCATGCTGCAATCTGATCGGCTATGGTTCTCGCCATCTGTTCCGTGATATATGAAGGTAGAGCGACCAGTCTTGCAATGTGCGGTTAAATAAAATGAAATAAAAACATGAGTCCGTCTTGTTGTTAAGTCTTAAACGACTTGTATATTTCTGCTAAAACAATAACATCATTCACTTTCGATTACTATGCGTGATAGAAATCTAAAGCTTGTGATCTAATTGTTCATTGTACCGTTCATATTAGTTCAATGCTTATTCCCCGACCTATAAACGTAATTTTCTCAGACCATCTGCATGGGTGATAACGAAACTGACACCACACAAAATACCCATCTCATTGTATACAATTGTATTTTACAGTCATCCCAAAATACGGAAAATCTTCCGTCCAACAAAACGGACTAATTATGATGCAAATTCAACGAGTGAGCATGTTATTGCACGAAACACCTACATGTAAACTAGCCGCTGTTTTGCAGCTGGTGGAGAATGAAGATCCCGGGCGCTCATGTACAGTTCACTTATATTGTTATGGCTCAATAACCTGCAAAAATGAAAAGCATTGTTACCAGTTTAAGTTTATCATATTTTGATATAATTTAAAAAGTCGGTACGCTAGAATCCAGGTAAATAACTAACGTTTTAGGCGGAGGGAAGGGGTTTCAAAGCCCATAATCTTATTTGTTACAAATTTGAGATGGGTCCAAATCCAATCTGCAAATTAAGAATTTTACATTCTTTTTAAGCATCTTAGACAAAACATTATGTGTGCTTATCAGGTAATACTTTAAATTGTCTGGACCGGTACTTAATGCATTAAGATAAAAAGCACTGAAATTTATTCAGCGGCAGATCCAGACCTTGAGCAAAAGGGGGGACGGCGGCGGCGGCGGTTTTTTGTCGTTTGCCCTGCCAGCTCTTCTTCCTTTTGCGATTCTTCTTTTTTTACCCAAAATAGGGAAGAGGCCTGGGGCCCCCCGGGACCCTCCCCTAGATCCGCTATTGTTATTGTGAGCTACACTAAGTGTTATGGAGTGAGGATTCTCTCTTAGCCTAGTTCATGATTTGTCCTCTCGCACCCAAACTGATCAGAACCAACTTCAAATGGGTCTCGAGAGTACTCCGGCCGAGTTTACCTCAATACGCTCCGCACGGTCTGGATAGAAACGTGTGCCACTAAGACCAATCGCGTCACGTCATTCGCGTTTTCCCGCGCTTCAAGCTACTGTCTAGTCTAGTTTTTATTGTGAGTTCTCATTAGCTCCACGTGATATTTTCCTTTGTTCTCATTGGTTCTTCTGGCGTCTTTCAGAGATGAAGGTAGTCTCCACGTCATTGTTTTTGATTCGAGACGTGGCCCTTATGCTTACATACTGACCACGACATCCAAGGGGGGAGGAGCTGGGTACAAAAAGAACAGAACTTACATAACAGTGGTGTAGTTTGGGATCCCCGGAAATTCCGTCAATCTGCCACTGCACTGAACAACAAGGTCAAGATTATCAGTTGTCTTACAGCAATTACAATTCTCCGGACAGCCTAGATCAGAAAAGTGAAAAGAAGACACGAAATGTCTGCTTAAAGCGGAGAAAAAGTTGGTGTAAAATATATCTTTTTTGATTCAATTCATTTGGAAAACTGATAGTCTGCATTTGCTGGACTGACAACTTACCATTTTCAAGGCAAACATTTGGAACTGCAAAGAATAAAATTGAGTCAGTCTTGAAATACGATAAATAAGTTTTCTAATTTCATGAACTTGTGGTACTTAAACAGAATAACACAACTCATTTTCCTGGAGGTGTTTGTTAAAGTATGATAACCGAACTGCCCCAATGAATGCAACGCAGTGTCTACCATCAAACGTTCAACATCAGATCTGTCTGGGATCATTTTTGCATTCTACGTGTAATGCCTACTCTCCTTTCATAACTGTTTAAAGGGAGGTTCCGATCGACCTCGGTTTTATCAATCTAAATGGGACTGACACGCATGGCTGGCCAGAAATGTGGGCACTGCTCCTTAATAGCATCTATTCCATCCTCCTGACGTATCACATCAGTATCCATCAATTACCTTTTATTGCCGTATAGTTAGCCTTGAAGCCTCCTCCTATCACTTCTTCATTTGACTTGAAGAGCAAGAACATTATTCTTCCTTTGGACTCAATTACAGCTGGAATGGTTTGACCACAAAAGCGTCCGTATGTAACGTGAGATTCGTTTACTTCCACGAAATCCCGTGAGCACTCACTGCTATTCTCCAGGTCAAAAAAGACAAACTCTAACTTGATCACGTGACCAGGAGGAGCTATTAGGGTCCATGTATAAGAAGCGTCGTTCGTGTAATATCCAGGGTATTGGGGAGACAAAATCCAGCCAGTCGTTTGATTTTTCAAGATTTCTTTTCGAAAACCTTAAAAACAACACAACTTTGTATAATTATATATATAAATTGATTTGATGAGATCATTATGCGGATTTTGATGGTCACTCGTGCAGGCAGGGTATCAACTCCCAATAAGCTTACATATTGCTGCCATCATTCGTTCAGTATCACAAAATACTCCCTTGATTCCGAACCTTTGAATATTCTAACCCCTGTCATCTTGGAGTTAAGGCTATGCTTCTTGGAATTTCAAATATTATATTGCGCTAAATTTAAACTGAAAATTGCTTTCTCATACACGACCAAGTGGCCAGTGTACCTTTAAAACTCCTCTCTTCCCCATTAAAGTTCCTTAATTGTTTACTAACGTTAGTCCTGAAGCTGCGATGTCTCTAGAACGTCATAAAATCTAACGACAGTTGTCTCATAATATTAGCAACGATAGATGCCCAGGTTCAGCGATCGCGTCGCATTTTACTTAGCCTCGAAATTCTACTTTTGCTACCTTTAAGGGTGCATTAGTTGCTATTCGTTCATTATATGATGGGATATCTATAAAATGTAAAAATGTAATTTATTTCGTACCCAGACCCCACCGTTTAACTGTATTTACAACCGCTTAGCCGTGAAAGTCTGAGAATGAGACTACCATATCATTCGATAACAATTAATCACAACCAACCGAGGTTCAACTCATCCTGGTGAATACAGAAATTACGTCCGATCAGAACCGGATTTAGATCACTGTAAACCCTTACGGGTAATTTTGAAAGGCTCGCACTCTAAGCACATTCTAAAAAACTAACGTAGTTTACTTAAGGAATAAAGAAACCAGTAAGAAATACAGAAAAATGTCAGGCTTTAGGGTTTTTTTTTCAAAATTATGGATGAAATTCTCTTCAATTCCGATTTGCGTAATTTTTTCCAAGTTTCTTTGCTCACACAAATTCATGTTATTTTTGTAGTCAACTCATCTTCCACATCACTTTATCCTTTCTCACTTGTGAGTGGTCTTCATGATTCATAACTCCTTTTATATTACTTAACCTCGTGCTCACCTTGGTTTGCGTTTGGTGGCTGAATCTCACAGTAACCAGGTACAATATATAGACCACCAACTGCTATGTAGCCATCGTCCTTTGAGTTTATTTGACCTCTAAAAATCAACTGAAACAACAAAAGTGCATTGAGTAGTTTTGTGTTGAGCAAATTTTTGAGTGCTAAGATAACATTATTTTGTAGCCAATAAACCATGTACCTACATCGCCTACATAAGCATGTTCGAGCGGTAATCGTTTTCTTACAAGTTTTAAAAAGAAAACAACAATAACACAAGCTAGTAAGTGACGGCGTTTTAAAAGCGTGCGATGTATTGTATTAAGCTCAGAGTGATAAATCACACGTAACTGAACAAGCTTTGTGTTCTAAAAGCCTCGGGTATTCCTTTTGCATACTTTATTTTCCTTTTAAATAATTCAGTGAACGTTTCGATGTTTTCCGCGTATTTTAAGGCGACAGTGTTTTTTTTATTCTTATTTCCCCTGAAATTTTGCGCGAGAAATTGGCGCACGGCCGTCTAAAAGTGAACCTTTTGCGCATGCCTGAAGTTTAACCGCCGTGTTCCTATTGCATGGCCGAGCTCACCACTGAATTCTCTGGCGTAGCATCTGAAGGAAAAGTTTGAATAAGGTGGGGTTAAATCCACATCTAGCCTCAGATTTTTTTATTCGTCCTAAGCTAGTGTCAAAAGTTAAAATATATTCTTTTCATACTGAGAAAGTAATTGTTTTGCGTTGTAACACATAGGACTTCTATCCCTCCAGATAAATCGCAACACAGTCTGACTAAATGATTATAAAAAAAAAAACCCCTCTAAGGCACCTCATTCCTTACCCGATGACGCACTGTTCCTGTTATTGACACCTGTCCATATTGCCATAATTTTTGTTTGTAGTCTTCTTCAGTGCCATTTATTGCCCAAATAGGTGTTGGCTCCCAGTCTTCATTAACGCTTTGAATCAAATGTAGTGAATGATTTCCGTGACCAAAGAACATAAAGCGAAACTTTATACACTTTCCATGCCCACCATCTGACCGGATAAACCACGGGCTCTTAAGCGCTGCTCGACCTCTACTTGCATTAAGAATCATTCTATCACCTGTAATGAGAGAATTCAAAGAGTTTGCCACGAAATTCATTGTTTATCTTATCACCAAAAGGTTTCATGAGATGAAACATGGTGACATGATTTAAAACGAGTGTCGTAAAAGCAAAACTAATGCTAATGGAAAGAAATTACAGGCAATCAGAGAAAACAGAGAAAATGGTTAATATGTAAAAGAGCCAAATAGACTTTCGAATCTTGAGGAAAACTAGTGACTAAGTCCCTGTAATTTTTTTGCAATTTGCTCATCTAAATGTTTAGGAGAGCAAAGTGAATTTTTAAAGAGTCAAGTGAGGTCGAGCAAATACAACCCCAAATACAACAAACGCCTCGTCTTTCAATTGCAAAATGCACCAAAACCATTCGCAACTTGGTCACCTGCATTTTCTACTTCTTGAGATAATGCTTTTTATCGGCATAATTGGGAGACTGAGTTAAAAAACAAAAAAGTCGAATTTTGGTTTTGAACTTCATTGTCTTTTACCTGATTGCGGGCTTTCGTTCATGCAGATGTTATGATAATCAGATTTACTGGCATATTTTTGACATAGTCTTCGCAAAAATAAATTGAGATTGAGACGAACCTTCACGATCTTGGCATGATAAAGCTTTCTCTATCCGAATCACTGAGCACTGAGTTGAATTATAGCTCAAGTAAGATTGGAATCTCGTCCAGGCTTCTGCGTTTCCTGTTTCATTTGCACAGCCAAGAGACATGCGCCATATTTCTTGTGATTCGAGCACGTGATTCCACACGTTAAGTCCACTAATATAACCGTTGATTCCACTCGAGGTTGTCTCCTCCTTAAATCGTAGATACAAGTCTCCTCTCCCTTTGAAGTACGAAAAGTTGTAATTCAGGAAATATTACCGCAAACGATTAATTCATAAATCACAACCATTACAATTTCCTCAAATGTGATTGGTGCAGTAGCTGCTTAACTTTTAACAGATCATTCTGTAGAGTTGCAATTGGAAGTGTAATTGGACAGTTGGCTGTAATCGGACATCTGTAATCGGACAGTTAAGCAGCCAACCATATTTGGTCCTTTCAGTCACCAATCACAGAATTGATCACAATAACCAAAGCAACAACCACTTATCCTAAAAAAGTTGTGGAATTTCCAAAGTTGAGGAATTTTTTACATAGACATTGTTTCTACTGAACGTATTTGTCCTGAATGTATTTGTTGTTTTCGAAAATTGTAACAGCTATGATTAATTGGTAACAGGACCGAGTGGAGTCCAGCTCTGTCTGTTATCATACTCATGATCAACAAATCGGACTCCCGCTTCGCGGTCGTCCGAATTTGTTAATCAAAGGTATGATTACAGACCGAATTAGACTCCACTTGGTCCTATCACGATTATTTGGTTTTATGAATAACTGACGTACTACGCACGCCCTGATTGGTCAAAACCTATCGTTTATTACAGTAGTAAAATCACAGAAAAAGTTCCATCGGTTTACCGGCATAATAACATATCTGGGTTGTTGAGAGAATACTCAAAATTTTCAGTCGAAATCACAATTCAAAAGCAAGTGATTAACGAGCTTTTCTAGTGTACTCCCAAAATCCTCCTTGCATTGTGTTAAATATTATTATACCGATTTCACGATATAATCACTTCGTATGTAAATTGCATCGTTTCGACTGCTTGCAAGTCCATCAATAGACAGGGGAAGGTGATGCGCGTCTTCTTATGAACCATGAAACAACACAACAGTTGGCTAATTTTTAGCTGCTGTGATTGGCACATTTCAATGCTTGTTATACAGGTGTGTCGTTGCCTCAGAAATCTGCTGTGGCACGACGCTTCTGTTGATATGTTTCGTAATCACGAGAATTCACGTCATTGTAGTTCCTCTTTCACTATCCGGCGTGTGGTGGATCACTCGCCAAAAATGCGCTGTTGAAAATCAAAGCTGCTGAAAACTAACCGATTTCAGAAAAACCTTTTCTTTTTATCTCATAGGAGCTAAATAATATGTTGGGTACCTGTTACTGGATTTTCCACGTGAACATGAGGCTCCTTCAATTTAATTTGCCCGTCAATGTAGATTTTTAAAACTCCGCTCATTTGTACTTCGCCCCAGCTGGCGCAAACATGGTGCCATTTGTCGTCAATTATGGAGGTTGATATATTCCTAAAAAGTGAGATAACGTGTTTCATTAAAAAAATCAGTGTGACGTCTGACTTCTGACGTTCGGAAACAAAATAGACCAAAGTATTGTGATTTAAAGTAAACTTTCTAATGGAATCATAAAGTAGCCAGTTAAAACAAGCAAGGGGAGTGAAAGCTTCAGCTAGTTCTAGGGCTAGGATTTCCTAAGGTCGGAAGAGATAACCAAGTCACCCCTTATAATCAATGCTCTTGAGCGCCGAAAGGCCTCGTCATTGCCACCTTCTCAGAGGTGCTCTTAGGCTGATGGCGGTTGGAAACCTCCACCGTATGTCTCAAGTAATAGCTGATGATTGACGCGCATGAAGAATGATTGACGCGAATCGTCTGTTTGCGCGGGTGGGCATGCAGAGACTGTTACGGAAACTAAACAAAGAAGTGTACTTTTTCCTGAAGAGGAGACAAAGAACATTGCTGAGCTCACGTCTTACAGTTTGCGACTCCTATACTCAATCCGCACACTCCAAGAGAATAGAAACTGTTTATATTCTCTTGGTACATACATATATCCCAACCAGTATTCATTCTTGGATTTTGAAAACTGAAGCACTGACTTGGGGATGGTAAATTGAAACAAACAACAATCTGTTCTACTCACCATTCTTTCTCATGTAATCCAATTTTCAGCAGAGCAGATTGAAAGACTAGTTGAAGTGAAGTCTTCCCTCG